TGTTCATGTTAATTTTCTGATTTGCATAATTAGTTTTCAGCTAAGTAATTTCAAATTATATTTAATGTGTCTCCAATACTCTCAGCACATGGGAGTTCTTTCTAAGCTTTCTTTGATCTAATGATGTCTTCTGTTCTTTAATTGAAATGTGCATTGCTAACAGCGGAGCTATCTCAGCCAATAGGCTGCTTGTTGTCATTTTTGGTAAAAAGTGACATTTGCGACTTCTTGTTAAAAACCACAAGTCTGATTGCTTTGATATTACATATATAGGTACTACTACATATGGACCTCTCTCAGATTTGTTCATTTTGTGATGATATCTTCAATTCTCTAATTTTGGTGAATATTTTTGTCATTTTTGGTAAAAAGTGATATTTTCATCTTCTTGTTAAAAACCTATAGTTCAATTGCTTTGATATTACATATATATATACTACATGCAGACCTTTCTCAGATTTGTTCATTTTGTGATGATATCTTCAATTCTCTAATTTTGATGAATATTTTTGGTAAAAAGTGATATTTTCAACTTCTTGTTAAAAATGTAAGTCCGATTGCTTTGATATTACATATATAGGTACTACATGTGGACCTCTCTCAGTTTTGTTGATTTTGTGATGATATCTTCAATTCTCTAATTTTGGTGAATATTTTTGTCATTTTTGGTAAAAAGTGATATTTTCGACTTCTTGTTAAAAACCAAAAGTTCAATTGCTATGATATTACATATATAGGTACTACATGTGGACCACTCTCAAATTTGTTCATTTTGTAATTATATCGTCAATTCTCTAATTTTGGTGAATATTTTTGTCATTTTTGGTAAAAAGTGATATTTTCGACTTCTTGGTAAAAAAACGCAAATCCAATTGCTTTGATATTACATATATAGGTACTACATGTGGACCACTCTCAAATTTGTTCATTTTGTAATGATATCATCAATTCTCTAATTTTGGTGAAATATTTTTGTCATTTTTGGTAAAAAGTGATATTTTCGACTTCTTGTTATAAACCGCAAATCCAATTGCTTTGATATTACATATATAGGTACTACATGTGGACCACTCTCAAATTTGTTCATTTTGTAATGATATCTTTAATTCTCTAATTTTGGTGAATATTTTTGTGATATTTTCTTCGTGTTAATAACCACAATCATTTATGGTGAAAAATGATATTTTTGAATTCTTGTTGAAAACAGCAATTCGCATTGCATTGATACTGTGCATATTGTTCATTTTCTACTGATATCTTTTGTTCTTTATTTGAAATGTGCCTTGCTAACAGCAGAGCTATCTCAGCCGACAGGCTGCTTGTTATGTAAATGTACTGCAAGCTGCTTTATGTTTGTTCGTGATTCGTGATTTTTTTAAAACATGTTTCAAAATGTGACCCTAGAATTAAAATGGTCCGTCCCTCATTTATGTCACATGATGTATTAATAATTCTTGTCAATACATTGTTTTACTAAATATGTAGTGTCAGTTTTTGTCCAGTGCTTCATAACTTTCCATTTTAATTTTGTTGTGATTTTCTTTATTTTCAGATAAAAGATGTCAGAGACCACAAATTAGACAACCGAATGGAATCTTTCTTTTTAGCAGAAACAACAAAATATTTGTATTTATTATTTGACGCAGACAATTTTATTCATAATGATGGTAGTCATGGTGATATAATAGACTCACCAGGCGGTCAGTGTATTCTCAACACTGGGAATTATTTTTTCAATACCGAAGCCCACCCTATTGATGCGGCAGCTTTAAATTGTTGCGTCGCAAGGAAACAGAAAAATGTGAAATCAGTACTTCAGAATCTACAAGGAAGCAACAGAGATAAATATAATCAGTTGAAAATGTTGTTAAAAGAAGAGAATAAAGAATTAAACAACAAAAGTTTTACCAGTCGATACAACTGCACGTCACAACCTTTTCATAGAAGGTTGTCTGTACTTGGTGAAATGTTTGTAAATTAATTGAACACAAAATTTGCATATTAAATATTTTCATGTTGAGCAACTTGTGATTACTGCTTCTTGTCACAACTCTTACAGTGCGAATCAAGTTGTCCACCAGTTCCACAACACGTACATGCTAAAGTCAAATTCCTTTTTATCCCATCACAATTGTTATTGGGTACAAGGAATGCTACATGTCAGTATTAAAAGTACATCTCCAATAATGAAAAAAGGATGAAAAAAACAAAAATTGCATTTATTGTCTATAAGACTAGAATATTTACTGGTAATCCATAAATCCAGGGTAGTTTTGAGTGGTAACATTTTGAGTGGTTGGGCTAAAGAGTGTGTTTTTATCAGTGGTAACGGGGAAAAAACAGTAAAAGGATGCATTTACATTTGCACTATTCAGTGCATTTATTGTCATGCATCACATGACAACAAATGTATTCTTCAAACTTTTAGCCATCCTGAAAGAGTCCCTCATAGAGTACAGTTGTTGGTGTTATAGGTGCTGGCTCTAGGTACAAAAGTCGTGGTTTGAACCGTTCTTGGCAAACTTTTTCATTCACCACCAAAATTCTAAACCTTGACACCTGACCAAGCTTTATGTTTGGAAATAATTAACACTAACAAGTGTGCAAATTACTACTCTGCATATGCCAAAAAATGGGTGATTACAGAAATAAACACATGGCCAGAAAACAATGAGTCACATGACCAAGAGTGGTTTAATTTCAAACAAAAAGTAATAATGAAACAAGACACAGAATAACGGTAGTGTTGTAACTATAGTTTTATTAATTGTATTGTATTGTAGTGTAGTATGTGATGACAATATATATAGGTGGATTGTTTGCTAGAACAGATTAACAAATTAATTGCTCTAATTATGTGGTTCAACAACCGGTAATGGAATTATTATACAGTGAACACAAGAAATCATTTCCCCTATGTTAAAGAGACAAAACTTCTTGTGTGAAAGCAATAATGTCTCTTTAGGTTGTATTTTTATTTCATTTTCTTGTCACTTTTCCCATAATTCTCAGTCATTTAAATTTAATATCTGAAACAATAAGTGGTTGACAAAATCCAAGAATACAATGGTTAGCATTGGTCAACATCTTGAATAACTGCATAGCAACAATACGCACAAGTTGAAATGGTCAATACAATCTGTCACTTTCTAGTTGTGCCACCATCTTGTTATCTCTTAGTGTTCGGAATAAAACTATCGAATGGTTAACTAATTCTCATGACTGAGTGATTTTCCTGAGTCGACCGTAGACATTCCCAAATAGATTGTGGCTATCCCCACAACAGTCGCTGTAACCAAGTCCTAAACAGACGAAAGAAATTCTGTGAGTGGGGAATTCAAGAAAGACTGTTGATGGTTGGCAGTTCTCAGCATTTCTTGTAACTTAGAATGCTTTTGTCTTTGCTTCAATTTCTTTGTTGATGAAGATGGTGTAGATGTGTTGCCAAAGCTGAAAAAAAATAGTAATAAATCTACTGTAAATATTATTATATCGCTACAATTAATTTGCTTGAATTGATGACTTAAGGGAAATGCAAGAACACAATTTTGTGAAAGTTACTGTGACTCACTGTCTCAAAGATTAGTTGCATTATTTTTCTTTTGGTAAAATGAAATGTCTTAATCCTTGTATTTTCTGAACCAAAATGATTACCAGTATTTTGATAAAATGAATATAAGGGGTGATGTGTTGGCATATTGCTTGCTAATATTCTAAGTACCCCCGGTACATGTGACATGACCATATTACGCCACATTTACATATTCAGTGTATCAATTTCAGTGCAGCATGTGACCTTTTAATAATTAATAGCAATGTTTCAATGTCTAGTATTACCATATCGACTCAAGACACTGGTAAGTCATGTTTAGCTATTGTAGCCTAGCTGGTACATGATTTCCATTTTGATGGCTAAGTTTGCATTTACTCTCTACCCACTAGTGGCAGTCATGGCAAAATGATGCTACATTGTATACCTACACCCTAATTGGACGACTGTATGATAAGATGTACTCCTGTCATAAATATGAGAAAGAGTAAAAGCCAAATGAATAAAATGCACTGGGCACTGAAATTTGAATAACCTGTTGAAAGTCTGCGTAGGTGGATTTTTCAATGAAAATATAAGCCCCCCCCCCCCCAATATTTGATGATCAATTTTTGGAAATTTTGAATCCCAAATAAAGGCCCACCAGCCGTGAAACCGTGCAGGAAGATTTTTCGGATGTGTGAATTTACAGCAGAATCCGGTATATGCTTTCTTCTTGTGATAATATTAACCAATGTACCCACTGTTCTATTTTTGTAACCACTGCCCTCAAGTGTTGAGTTTGTGGCGATACTTTTGTTTATACCGGTATGTACCTGGAGGAAGATCTGTTGTTAGGCGTTGTATTCCATGATAGACTACCAATTGGTGAAATACTTGAATGTTGTGCCTGAACTCTATCTTGCACTGGTGTACTCATAAACGACTTTGTCTCTTTTCTCATTGGTGTAGGCATCTTGAACTTTGTTGATTTCTTGCATCTCTTGCATGATAATATCTGAGGATGATAAAGAAGACAATTTAGAATTTTTTTAGTGAATTTCAAGTAACTGCAGTTAGATGGGTAAACTATACTGCAAGTAAAGAAAGACACGATTTCTTGGCAGTGTGACAAACATTTTAAAAGGGCATAGCCCACAACTTTGAGATTAGAACAACCGTGTTTGCTCTTACCAAAAATGGCATTTATTTAGTACATGCACTTATGTAAATTACAGAGGTGATTTTTCTATCAAAATAAGTCATATTTTATTGATTCAGTGAAATGAAATGAAGTTTTTGTCTTGTTTTATTTGCCATAAAGTAATCTCTGTCATTTACTTTTTAGTGTATGCATTTCTTATAAAGCAGATACCATATATTCAATTCTTGCAGGGTGTTCGCATTTGACACATGTACTGTCATTGATACGTTTCTAGACACTATATTTCAGCTATTTTTCAGTAACATGAAAAACATTATTGGCAGAACTGTTTTCATTAAGTTCCATATAATGCATTCTTACAAATAGCGCCACCTCAAAACTAAAACATGTATTAGGTTTTCTCTTATCAGGTACTAAAACTTATCACGTCACATTGCAGTGCATGTTGTTGATTGCCAGGGGCACTTTCTTAGCAGTTCAAAATATGAAAAAAATAATTTCATGAGTTATAAAAAAAATGACTGGCATCAAATCATGAGGAATTACCAAAGTATGTGCAAACACATACCACTAAACTCACCAAACAGTTACTTTCTTTGTAAAACTTTTGATATCGTTTTCTTTCTAACTTCTGTAAATGTCGTCCCAATCTCAGTTTCTTCTCAAGTTGCACAATATCTCTTGATTTTCTTCTTTTTGATGTCAGTCGAAATGTGTGATCATCAGGACTGTATAGAGCTCTACACCATGGACAGAGACTCATGTCATCTTTAAATAAATTAAATTCTCTAACATCAATTAATTTTCCCTGATGCTTAGTGAAAAGATACAACAACTATAATTGTGCCCACCTGTACACCCCCAACCGGTAACATTTCAGTAGGAATGTAAAAACTAAAACTTATATTCCTGGTGTTTTGGTAACATTTGTCACGGTCTGCTTGAAAATTCAGAAAATGAAATTATACTAAACAAGCCATGCACGACACAGTCCCCGTTAGTTATCAAATTTAAGGCATAAAGTTTTGTTTATAGTAATATAGCTGGAATATAAACATGTCAGGAATATGAT